CTCATATTATCACATACCAACTATCTCATCTACCCATGTTCTACCCAACATATTCGCAGATATAAAATACATATACAGTTTAACTCATTTAAAAACTATATAAAACGTCCATTCCACACTCATCTCAAATAAGCAAACAATGTATAAACACATAATACGTATTTCTTAGCAAATACTTCATATCTATACGTTAGAAGAAAGTAACCACACACTCACACATATAAACAACTTTATATTATACACATAGCACATATTTTATAAAATACTCCATATCTATGTGTAAGAAGAAAGTGACTATACACTCACTTGATTAGAAGAAGATCAGATAGCACTACGACTTGCAGTAGTAGTATTTTTCGGTAGATCTGGAAGATCTCCACAAAAATCAAACTTCCCGCGGGCAGAACTTCAGCTCGAGAATCGCACTTCTCGGGATCTCGGGCTTCGGGACTTGCTTCGGGTCTCGGGGTTGATACCGGGGCTTCGAGGGTACTTCTTTGCACGTAAATCGATGTAATATGGGGAGAGATGGGAGAATGAGCAACCACACTCGGCTGGCCCTTCAAATCTATTTATAGGGCAAAACTGGCCGTTGCCACGTCGTGGAACCTTTTTCCACGCCGTGGGCTTGATCGTCACTGCATGCGTCATCCCAAGTTGCATCTGGGGAACTCCCGGAGGTGTCAAGAGACTTGCCACGTCGTGGCACTGCTTTCTACGTCGTGGTCTCTGACACAGCTTTGGGGTTCGCATCCCGAACTTCAGAAATTAATAACTTTCGCATACAAACTCCGTTTTCGACGTTCTTTATATCGACGTGAAGGTGAGATTATGCTCTACAACTCTCATTTAGACTCCATTGGCTAATTTTGACTTTATTTTTAATATATTATAAGCATATTACTTATATATATTATCTTTAGTAGGCCGGGACAGGAAAACTCCATTCGAAATTCATAACTCCTTCATCTGAACTCCGTTTTCGTCTGTCTTTTTATCGTTGGACTACTATCGAAAAAATCTTCGACTCTCGTTTAGATTACTAAGGATAGATATCTATCTACCTTAATTTCACTATTTACATCGCGCTGGGTCATGTCGGTTCTGTCGCAAAACTTCGACAGGTCATAACATCTTCGTTATAACTCGGATTTTGGCGTTATTTATATGCACGGAAACCTTGTGAAATATACTTCTAAATATTCTTCCATCAAAAAGTCATTTTTGATGTTTATCGTCTCTAAATTAACTAGCCCGGATCTACGGACGTTACATGAAGTCATCTATGAATGTAAGCATGTATATACTTCCCTCAATGGAGGGTCTTTTCATAGGACCACAAAACATTATCATGTATAAGTTCTAGAGGTATTGCTGCCCTCCAAACCATTTCTTGTGGAAAGGCTTCCCTTAAGTGTTTACCTATTATGCCACCTTCACAAAGCTTGTCACTTCTGTTTATATTGGGTAAACCACAAACCAGGTCATGTTTGTGCATGTAAATGAGTGAACCATAGTTAATGTGTCCAAAGAGTTGATGCCAGAGAAGAGGTTTCATCACTTATGACTTTAAAAGACAAAACATTATCATCTAAGAATCGTAAAGGAAACATTTTGTTTGAGGTCATGAGTACCTTTCGAAACAGTTTATTGCTTCCATCTCAGATTTCACATGAATTGTCTTTAAAGTGTACGTCATATCCTTTGAGAATCAATTGGACAACACTTAGCAAATTATGTTTAAACCTAGAGACACAGTAAACGACTGGTATCCTTTATTATTGATCTTTGTATTTACGAGTATGTCTCCACATCCTTGAACGTTTAGTGATTTGTCATCACCGGTACATACTTCTTTCTTCTTGGAATCTTTTTGAGTAGTAAACAAATCTCTATTTCCGGTCATGTGGTTGCTACAACCATTGTCAAGGAACCATGTATCTTCTTGTGAGTTGTTTTGTGCAGTAAACAACATGAACATTGTTTCTTCCTTATTATCCTCTTCTTGAAGCATAAGGATTGAGTTTCTATTTTCATCTGCAATTCGTTTTCTACATACTTTGAATGTATGTACAAATTTATGGAATTAATTGCATTGAATTTGTGAGAATGATTTAGCACGTCCTTTCCTTTTAGAAGAAGTCTCACTTCGTTCGTCCTTCTGACAAGTTGTATTGGGATTACATTGAGTCGTTGAATGTATTTTGAAGGCATTTTCAGAGTGAGAAAAGTCAAATTGTCTCATCCTTAATTCATGGGATTGTAACGTCCTAAGGAAATTTTCGAGAGAAAATGTGGATAAGTCTTTTGACTCTTCAATCACAACAACTACATATTCGAATTTTCTGGTTAGGCTTCTTCAGATCTTTTCAACAACTCTCCTATCATCAATGGTTTCCCTGTTTAGTCTCAACTAATTTAAGAGTAAGATTACTCAATTATAGAACTCCTCTATTGTTCATGAGTCCTTCATGTGAAGATTATCGAATTCACATCTTAAGGTTTGCAGTCGTACAACTTTGACCTTGTCTTATCCCCTGTATGTTCTATGCAACAAATCCCATGCTTCTTTTGAAGACGAAGATGTCGAGATTCTCTCAAAAATCACTTCATCTGCTGCTTGGTAAATGAAGAATAATGCCTTCTTGTCTTTCTTCCTTGATTCATTCAAATCAATTATTTGTTGTGTTGTTAAGGCGGTAGGATATGCAAGTTCATTGATTCCATACTCCACGATACTCCAAAGATCTAGGGACACGTACAACACTGTCATCTAAATTCTCCAGTGGTAATAATTTTTTTCTGTTTAACTTTGGTCATTGGGGTTGCAATATGTTTCCGTTTGTAGCCATGATCGCAGGCTTGATACCAATATGTTGAGTAAATGAAGAACACATAAATTCACACTAATATGTATTTATTATATTCAGAAGCATCAAATCGTACATAGATGTCATTACATACAATTATGTTATGTACAAAATATGAGGCCTCATCCAAACCAATAGCCCAATGTTGTAAATCGAAATCAATTTATGTAAAGTCAATTGAAACTATATATGTTGACAATACGAAGAAAAACCATAACGTTGATCTATGAAATATGGGGCTAATCCATGTGAGCTATGACAAATTAGAGATGATGATCAAAGGAAGTTTTGAGATGGAGTATAAATGCACAACACCTACTCTCATACAATAGCATAAATGCATGGATACTATGTGCACATTCTTATTTTCTTGACCTTGTCTTCTAACTAATGAGTAGTTATCTTAGATTATTCATTATATGTTAGTACGTATTTCCCAGTTTTCTTTTCGTATTCTAAGCCATATATGGCAGTCTCTTCATTTTGTCTTATTAAGAGAAACCGAGAAACACACAATTTTATGTAGGTTGCGGTTGTGTTTGTTTGCTAAAATCCAATTCACATTTGAATAATCTAGAACTTGAGATTTATATTCCACAACCTTCAATGTCGAATAGTATAAACTTACCATAGGGAAATCTTTAAAAAAAAATAAAAAAAATAAAAAAAAATAACCTATTACATTTTTAAATTGATTAAGATGTTAAGTTCGTACCTAAAAGTCCCGGGTTCACTAATGAATATCTTCTTTTCGGAAATTAACTCAATCTTTTGCTATATACATACGGATTCTGATAAACCGAGAGGGATTTTTTTTTTCACTGTTGTTTGGAACTTGAATATGTTTTGATCGATACAGAATATGAGCTGTCAAATTCGAGCAAGAAGTTGAAAAATATATTCTATCAATGATTTGATTTCTACATATGAGGTTACATACTAAATACTGGAATGACATTGTTTTAACACGTTTTCATAGCCCATATATGCCATATTGTAACCTCAAATCATTGCACTTAAAAGACAAATAAGCAGAAATTTTTAGTTATAAATAATAAGTGAACTTGATTGTTAACATAAAAATGCTATTTCTTGGTCGAGGTTGTGAAAAACAAAAACTGAAACTTCTTTACAAAAAACTTTTGGACAAAACCGAAAATAAAGATAAAATAATAAGGACTAAGTTTGTAAATGTTTCGATAAACAAAAGCAAATAGCAATTCGAAATGAAACAGACAAACAAAAACACACCAGAGGAGAAGTCCAAACGTAAAACAAGCTGACACGTGTCACCGTGGTTGGGGATTCATGTGCTCTTTTACTCGTAGTGTCGTGAGCAGTTGGTAGATGATAGCGGCTTGGGGATGATGTAAGCCGTTACGAACTACGCTTGTCCTCTTTCAAATGATTAAGAGTAAATTACACGAATGGTCCTTAAAGTTTGGGGTAATTTGCATTTTTGGTCCTTAACTTATTTTTTTAACTCGGAAGATCCCTACTGTTTGCTTTTATTACGCGCTTAGTCCTTACTGTTTGTTTTTGTTACGCGTTTGGTTCCTATCTTACCTAAAAATACTATTATTTAAATAGGAAAAACTGGTGGGCTAGGTAAGATAAGATGAGAGGGGTGGGGTTGGGGGTGTGTTTATCTATATAAATTAAAAAATCAATAGCAAAATAGTCTTTTTAGCTAAGATAGGGACCAAACGTGTAACAAAAACAAATAGTAGGGACCTTCCGAGTTAAAAAAATAAATTAGGGACCAAACACGCAAATTACCCTAAACCATAGGGACCATTCATGTAATTTACTCAATGATTAAAGTAACTAAAAATTGTTATAAAAAAACTAAAACTTGTTAAATAACAATTTATTTTGAAAAAGTTATAAATTTATTTAGCATCATTTTTTAGAAAATTCGGACAATAACCAAAAAAGAAGGTTGGTTTGAAGAAAATAATCAAGAAAAACGGATTTTGGAAAACGACCAAAGGATCCGCAGAGCACCCTCTGCAGATCTCTCTACACAGGGGCGGATCCTTTTAGGGTCAGGGGAGGCCAAGGCCCTCTGGTTTCTACTCCAGTAATATCTTTTTATATATTGAATGATTTATAAGTTATTAAAAAAACATGGTTGAAGAGACTAGAAAGCAACAAAAAAACACAGCAATAGAAAATACAAAAAGTATTTATGAGAACACCTAAAATTCCTAATTTGAAGGAAAGCACATCCACCAAAATTTAAACTTTCAAACTTCTAACTATTTAATGACAAAAAAAAATAGAAAAATATATTAAAATGTCTCAAACACAAATCTGAAACATTCAACCCTTAAAAATCATTCGTCCTCACCTTTCTTCTCCGAATCTTTACAGCTCTGTGGATCCTTCTACAGCTTTGCGGAATGTAGGTTTTATAATTTTTAATTTTTAATTTTAATTTTTTTTTTTTGCGTTCATTTTCGTTTAGTAATATTAATTTTTTTTTTAAACACACTAATACCTTATGTGATTATTATGTAAAAAATTTGACAAAAAAATGTTAAAAATAATAGAATGTTTTATGTAATACGTTTGCTACCGGTGCATATAAATAACTTAATTAAAATTATACAAATATTCCATGTTTTTTATAGGTTACAAAACATACTTTAGAAAACATAAACATACAACCTTCATAATAAACAAACATACTATGAAATAAACTTCATTCATTCAAATCGAACCACGGAATTGAAACTTTGATTTGTTTTCGTATTCCATCCACGAGTTTTCTGTTGCTTGTGTCCCTAGGTTTACTGTCGCTTGCGTCCATTGGTTATCTGGTTGTTGTTGCCATTGGTACTCGGTGCAACCATGCCATTGGTTATGTGGCTCTTCCTACGGTCGGTATTCGGTCCCTTGCGTCCATTGGTTATGTGGCTCCTGTTGCCATTGATGTTCGGTCTGTTGTGTCCATTGGTTGTCTGACTGCTGCTGTCATTGATGTTCTTTTTGTTGTGTCGATTGGTTGTCTGGCTGCTGCTGCCATTGTTGTTCGGTATGCTGCGTCTATTGGTTCTCTGGCTCATGTTGCCATTGGTTTTCGGTCGCTTACATCGGTTCCTCTTCTTTCACTTTCGTCCCACTCCCTGATGCCCCAGTACGTTTTTACTTTTACTTTGGTTATTTGGAAGACAAAACTGCACAAATGGTCCTTGTGGTTAGCTGAAAATTGTCACTTTGGTCCAAAAAAGTTTGGACTAGCACTAGAGGTCCAATCTTTTCATTTTCTTGCAATTTTAGTCCAATTTGGATTGAACTTTTTTATAAGGACGATTTTGCCCTTAGCTTTTGCTTTTTTAGTTTTTATTTATTTATTTAAATAGCTTTATGATTAAAAGAAATAAAAAATAAAAATAAAATACTTTAAAACACACACACACACACTCACTCTCTCTCCCCCTCTCTCTCTCTCTCTCTCTCTCTCTCTCTCTCTCTCTCTCCCATAGTCTTCTTCATCCTATCTTTTTCCTCTAACTCAAACCACAAACACTTTTCACATATAGATACACACTGAAAATTAAAAAAATTAAAATTAAAAAAAAAAAACATAACCGGGGATCGATACATATAAATCAAACACACATACTCTCTAAAAATAAAAAAAATCATAGAATCAATCAGAAGTTCAAAAATTTAGAATGACAGACTTTATTAACCCCCTTGTTCTCTTATACCATATGCGTGTTTGCTTTTCCTCCTTTCATCTTCCATCTGGTCAATCGTAGTTAACCCTTTTCCTTATCTTAGATCGATCATATCTCTCAAGGATCCTCATAGGAGAAGTTGATTAAATCCCTCCCCCCCCCCCCAAAAAAAAAAAAATGGTTCTAGTCACGACTTAGGTACACACACACACACACACATAGAGAGAGAGAGAGAGAGATCCAACACCATCGGAGTTCACCAAATCTTGGGCCATCGGAGTTCATCGGATCTAGGGTTTGTTCGTCGCCGGAGCTAGGTTTTCTAGAGTTTGTATAGGTGGCAGTTTCATATATCTCCAACAACAACATCCAGCACTATTTATCGTAGTTTGTATCATCCTAATGGAGAAGACGATGAAGTTTAAGGCCCGATCTCCGTTTGTGAAGGGGACCAATATCGGAGGAGAGGGATAGTCGATTTTTCAAGATTTGATCGTCTCCATACATCCAATAGTCGATTTCTTCTTGAAGCAGTATGTGTAAATAATGGTTGAAGGCATAGGTTTCTTAAATAAATGGTGGCCGAAAAAGGAAGCAAATTGCATCTCAAGGAGGAGGTGATGATTTGTTAGAGGCAAAGGGATGTTTCTTGAAACTGTACGTATAGAGAGAGATAGAGAGAGGGGGGGAGAGAGAGGGTTTAAGGTATTTTATTTTTGTATTATTTTTAATTAATGTAATAAAAGAAAAATAAAAAATAAAATAATAAGGGACAAATTCATCATTATAAAAAGTTTCAAAATTTTTGGACCAAACTCGCAACAAAATGAAAAGTTTGGATTTCTGGTGCTAGTCCAAACTTTTTTGGACCAAAGTGGCAGTTTTTGACATACCACAGGGACCATTCTTGCAGTGTTGTCTATTTGAAATGATTTCCTTACACATCCTTGCATTATGAGTTTTGCTATAGCATCTACTACACCTTATTTTGGGTTCCTCACCTTGAGGGGAAATACAATTGGTGTTTTTTGGTCTACCGGCTTGACATATTTCCATTACAGGAGGGTTAACAACCATAAGGTCATCCGGAACCTCCCAATCACTAAGTTCTAAAAGAAGGTATACGGCCTACTCATATGTTCTTCGATATGTTTTAATTTTATAAGCATCTATAGCCATATGCCCACAATGATCAATTTTCAAGTGCATTAAAACCATTATCACATAACCCACATGACAAACTAGTTAGTTGTCAATATCTGCAAGACAAACATATATGACTATTTAGCACACCTGCCTTACTTCTAATAATTTGTAATAACATTTCATGGTCAATGTTAGGATGAAGATTTAAACCATAGTTTTTCACATTATTTCTAACGTAAACCTCATCTCCATTAACTAACTGCCAAGACCCTCCCCTACACAAAATAATAAAACTCATTTTACAAATCACTCTCCACAAACACAATGAAAAAACAACTTCTACTAGTAGTTGAAACTCACAAACTCACAAAAACCCACTAAAATACGTCTATAACTGATCCGTAGAGGTGTAGACAGATCCGCAGAGGTGTACATTGATCCGCAGAGGTGTAGACAGATCCGCAGAGGTGTACATTGATCCTCAGAGGTGTAAACTGATCCTCAGAGGTGTACACCGATCCGCTGATAACAGTTCTGTGGATTCACAAACAGTTCTGTGGACTGATATTAAACATAAGTTCATTATTTTTAACATGTTTTGTCAATTTTTTTTTACATAAATATAAGGTATTAGTGTATTAAAAAAATTAATATTAATAAACGAAACCGAAAAAATAGAAAAAACGAAATAACGAAAAATTAAAAATTAAAAAACTCAAGATCTGCAGAGGTGTTTTGGTTCCTCAGAGGCAAACGTATTACATAAAACATTTCATTGTTTTTAACCTTTTTTTTGTCAAATTTTTTACATAAATATAAGGTATAGTGTATTAAAAAAATTAATATTAATAAAAGAAAACAAAAAATAGAATAAACGAAAAAACGAAAAAATAAAAATTAAAAAACTTAAGATTCGTAGAGGTGTTCCGGTTCCTCCGAAGCAAACGTATTACATAAAACATTTCATTATTTTAACCTTTTTTTTTTCAAATTTTTACATAATAATCACATAAGGTATGAGTGTATTTAAAATAATAATAATAATAATACCAATAAACGAAAATGAACGCAAAAAAAACGAAAAAATGAAAAAAATAAAAGTTAAAAAAATAAAAAACCCACATTCCGCAGAGCTGTAGAGGGATCCACAAAGCTGTAGAGAGATCCGCAGAGGGTGCTCTGTGAATGCTTTGATCATTTTCCGAAATCCGTTTTTTCTAGGTTATTTTCTTCCTACCAACCTCCTTTTTTTGGTTATTGTCCGGATTTTCTTATATTTTTTGGTAAAAATATATTTTAAGTGGATTATTGTTTAAAAAAAAAAGTATTTTCAAAGTTAATGATTAAATTGATAATTCCATCGTAAAAGTCCATAATCTGAACGAAATTACTAAATCAAATTTTGATTTAAATAATATATTATTATTTTATTATAATATAACATAGAAGAGTAAATTACACGAATGGTCCTTATGGTTTGGGGTAATTTGCGTGTTTGATCTCTAACTTATTTTTTTAACTCAGAAGGTCCCTATGGTTTGTTTTTATTACGTGTTTGATCCCTACTGTTTATTTTTGTTACATGTTTGGTCCCTGTCTTATCTAAAAAGACTATTATTTAAAGAGGAAAAAATGATGGGGTAGGTGAGATAAGGTGAGAGGGTGGGATTAGGGAAGTGTTTATTTAAATAAATTAAAAAAATCAATGGTATAATAATCTTTTTAAGTAAGATAAGGACCAAGCGCGTAACAAAAACAAACAGTAGGAACCTTCCGAGTTAAAAAAATAAGTTAGGGACCAAACGCGCAAATTACCCTAAACCATAGGGACCATTCGTGTAATTTACTCCATGATAAATTTCAATTTAGATATTTGTTTCGAAAATATAGATTAACAAAAATCTAGTTTTTTATATATAAATTACTTATTTAAACAAAAATGACGAAACAAAATTACAACTTTTAAACATAATTTGTAAATTAGTTAATAATTTCATGTGTACAATACTTTAAAAAATAAAGGTTTTTTTTTTATTGTTATATATCATACTTAAATACTTTTATTCATTTTATCACATATCATTTTATATTGTTTTAATTCTTTTTCACATGACATTCTATTTTTTTAATAATATTATGTACTAATTATAATAAAAAGACATCAATTTCATTAATGTTTTCCTTTAAAATTTAAAATTCTTAAATTAGTTTAATGATATAATTTACTACAAACCACTAAGACCATGTGGTGTGCCTCTTACCGCATATCGTAGTATACTACAGTATTCGGTAAAGAGTGCACCGAAGGACAAAAAAGTAATGCAGTAAAGGTGTTTTGTGATACAGATTTGCCACATAGAAAAAAATGCACTCTTTTAAATGTTATATTTCATGCATAAAAATATGTACTGTGGTGGGTGTTATAAGGTGTGGTATGACACACATTAGTTTTGTGAGGTGTAGGGCGTGTTCGGCACTGAGCGTTTGAGAGCTTTTAGCTTCTAGCGTTTGACAAAACGCTCCGTTTTGAACAAAAAGTCACGTTCGGCACTACACTCGTTACCAGCTAATTTTGCCGAACACACCCATAGTAAAAAATAATACGACACTTAAAAAATGTGGTGAGTATGATATGACACCCACCAGCCTAATTAGTACATATAACATGCTAAAATTCAATTTTATCTTTGATTTTGTATGTTCAAACAAGTTCATAATCAATTAGTTTAATGACATAATCTACTATAAATTATATCGAATTATAATATTTTTTTAAAATACATTTTATAAACCATCTTAATGACTTAATATTAACATATTTTTTAAATTTGGTTTTACTATTACACTAGCTTTATTTCTCCAAATATGAACAAATTATTAACTTTAGATATACATAAAATGGAAAAATGTTAAATGTCGTTTTAAAAACCTTAAATTCATATTTGTTGTATTTAAAAAATATATATTAAAGAAACTAACCATTATAAATGAGTTTAAAAAAATAACCACAATTTTTTGGTTTTTGAAAAATGGTCACTTACTCTCAAATGCCCTATTTTGGATTTGATCTTTAAATTTTGGAGTTCTTTTCTGTTTTTTTCCAAAGAAATCAACCTGCTTATGTTTTTGTATGAAATGTCCATTTCGATGTGTTTAATGTCACAACTTTTCAATCTAATGTCTAATTTTATGCTCTAATATTGTATATAGTTCACATTTACTATATTTGTTTAATTTTTTGTTACAATTAAGTAAAAAATGAAAATTTTGCTCGAAATTCTGAAATTGTTAATTGGATCTGAGATTTGTTGAAATTCTGGAGTTTTTGAGATAATCAGTGTTCAGTTGTGGGTAGTTGTGTGTTGCATTGTCCAAAGTTAAAAGTAAAAATGGATTAAAAATTTTAATTTTAGACAATTACAGTAAACTTAACAATAAGACATCTAATGTTGAAATACTTATTTATTCATCATTTCAGTTGTATTTGTTTCAAAAATTACTTTTATTTTTTTACTGTTTAGATATTTATATTTAAATTTTTAATCAACATGTGTAATATACATGTTCCACAACTAATAGATAAGATAGGTGAGGTCAGATATAAGAATAGTTTATGTGCAATATATTTGGGAATAGGACTTGTTAAGGTAATTAACTTTTCGGGTTTTTCACATATAGGTAACTATCTTTTTTTTGTACACATCTAGGTAACAAACTTTTTGGAATTGTTCACATATGACCATTATAACCTGTTGTAGCAGGTTACATCCAGCTACAACAGGTCATAATGGTTATATGTGAACAATTTTATCAAGTTCGTACCTAGATGTGTACAAAAAAAATAGTTACCTAAATATGAACAAAACCAAAAGTAATAGTAAATTACATGAATGGTCCCTATGATATAGGGGAATTTGTGCATTTAGTCCCTAACTTATTCTTTTTAACTCGGATGGTCTCTACTGTTTATTTTTGTTACGCGCTTAGTCCCTGTCTTACCTAAAAAGACTATTATGCCCTTATTAATTTATTTTTTAATTAATTTTCTTATTTATGTTTTTTTATATGTTTAAAAAAATTAATAGACCCCACATATCTGTATCTCCTCACTGTAAATCTGAAACCACATTTGAGAAATTTAATTTGGGTCCCACCAGTCACCATCCCATCTCACATCCTCTTCAACCTCTATTTTCTTTCAATCTTTAGTGACATGGAAGTCTTCACCATCCTTTTTTTTATCCTTCAACTCTGACGAACAAACACCATAACCCATCGTCTCTTCACTTTATTGGGTTGTGGTGTTGGTTCGCTGAAGTTGAAGGACCGAAAAAGAATAGATGGTGAAGACTTCATTGTCATTAAATATGGAAAAGAAATAAAAGTTTAGGATGATGAAAGATAGGATGGTGAGGAGATACAGATATGTGAAGTCTATTAGTTTTTTTAAACATATAAAAAATACATAAATAAGAAAATTAATTTTAAAAAATTAAATTAATAAGGACACACTAGTATTTTTAGGTAAGACATGGACCAAACGGAACAAAGTAAAACATTAGGGACCATCCGAATTAAAAAAAAAAAAAAAAAAAAAGTTAGAGACCAAACGCATAAATTCCCCCAAACCACAGGTACCATTCGTGTAATTTACTCTTACTTTTGGTTTGTTTATATTTGGGTAACTATTTTTCTTTTGTACACATCTAGTTAACGAACTTGTTGAAAGTGTTCACATGTAACCATTATGACCTACTGTAGCCAGAGGTAACCTGCTACAGCAGGTCATAATGATCATATGTGAACAGTTTCAAAAAGTTTGTTACCTAGATGTATACAAAAAAAAAAAAATAGTTACCTACATGTGAACAAACTGAAAAGTTAATTACCTTAATTAGTCTTATTTCCAATATATTTTGGATTCAAAAGATAAAAACAAAATAGAGATTTCTTTAAAGAAATAAAAA